AATGGTGTGGGGGGAGGGGGAAATGTCACAGCATCAGTCCATGAAGATACGGAATGGTACTGTATTAGTGTACGGCATGCTACTTTCTTTTTATTATCACAATTCTTTATTATTTTTATTATTATTATTATTATTATTATTATTATTATTATTATTATTATTATTATTTTATCTTTCAGTCATATCTGTATTTCTATGTACTCGTGCCAACTTTGTTACTGGCCTCTATGCTGTTAAGTTTGCACGTAAATAAACAGGAATTGAATTGAATCTCAACTATCTTAAGTTAACTAATGGTATTTGTATTGGTACTGTAGTAACCGTAAGTGTAACTGTATTGTAATTGTATTCATTGGGTATAGTATATGACCCTTTTAGTGGTAGTACTGTATATGTACCGCCGTAGCGAGTACTAGTATATAACCCTTACTGTTTTGTACTTTTGTTTATTGTTGTGTAGTTTCGTGTGCTGTGCTTTGTTCGAATGTAACGGGTTATTTTGTGTGCTGTGACTTATTGTATTACCACTGCCACCGGATAAAACCCATCTGCAAGTCAAATAATAATAATAATAATAATAATAATAAACATACCTGTGAACACTTGTTGTGGTTCTCTGATTTATGGCGCCATGTAGTTTGATACGCATGCACCAGAGGCCACTGCAGTTCTTCGTGACCACTGTCCTACCCCAGTCTCTTATACACAACCACCCCACTTTCCCAAGTTCGCTCTCTTCTACCCTGAAAATGGAGGCACTATTCCCTCCCGAGTACGTTGGCATCCACCTACGAGAGTAGCTTACACGGTATCATAAGACCACAGTACGAATCTTCATCGCCATGAAAACCTCAAACCTCAAACTCGAGTAGTACTATTCTGAATACACCATTCTCACTCTTGTGTGTGTAAGAAGCAGAGCTGTTACGCATGTAAACTGTGTTTCTGAGAAACTCTTTTATACAAAGTGTTGAGGAAAGTATCTCAAGCTAACAGAGTTGAAGTAAGGACATTACACAACAGTAAACTTCGTCATTTATGCCCTTCTCGAGTTGTTTGCGTATTCATGTTTGGAGGTTAAAACTGGATGGGAGAAACAAGAAACGATACAAAATTTCTATGAGACCGGCTATGGGATTTGAAGATAGCATTACAATTTCCATGAGATCGGTTATGGGATTGGAAGATAGCATTACAATTTCCATGAGACTGGTTATGGGGTAGGAAGATAGCATTACAATTTCCATGAGATCGGTTATGGGATTGGAAGATGGCATTGCAATCAATGTACAATAAACAGCCTGCGGTAAGTACTACTTTGATCCAACTTTTCTTGAAGACGGAGGCAGTACATTCTCCCGAATCGTCGATAAACATCTACTAGACTGTAGGGCGTTACGTCAAAGAAGACAACAGAATTCGAATATATGTACACTTTTTGAATGATGATTGAGAGAAACCCGACCCTGTCCAATTTATTACCAATTTGTACGAGCGAAGAAGCATTAAGCCGTGTCCAGAACCTGGTATTTTATTTCACCAAAGAGTTTCTCAATGAATTCGAATTTCAGTTATGATCATGCCTGCTACAGTTAATTAAACTTCGATCCTGATCACGGCACAGTCTAATGGGGAAGCCGTCTTAACACTGGATTCGCGGAACTGACTCTCGCTTGTGACATGGGTATATGTGTACGCCCTGTAGACCCTAATACTCCTACAGTTCGCGGCACACCTGAGTAGCAGCGGAGTGTTCAAGTTAACCGCTTCAGGCTGGCTAAAACTTTAAAAAATAAGATAAAAGCGCTACTTTCGTGGTTCAGCGGTACTTCACATCGCGGTGGGGGAAGCAGTACGATAATGCATCGTCTCCCACCTTCAGCCAGCCCATCACAAGCGTTGTTAGCCAGTTCCTTCAGGCTAACGTGAGCCGTTTATGGACGCAAGCGCTATTAGAACAGATATGATATAGCACAGGCTTGAGAGAAGAGAGTGTGCATGACTTCCCCAGCTATCGCGGTAGCCAAAGTAGGAATGCCAAGGCATATCAGCTGCTTCGCGCTGATTGAAGGATTGGAGGACTGAGAAAAATAATATACACGTATGAATATTTAGTGCGTGCATGTACACACAACACCACAATAATAGCTGACCTGCTGTATTTTTTTTATTGCTAGTGAGGTGGGACTAAGCCCCTTGTACTGCGGCCACTTCTGGCTTATTGTATCAGCCCCAGATGATAGGTGAGGGTGATTGTGAAGCAATTAGTGGAATGAAGATTGACAGGGGAAACCTAAGTACTCGGAGAAAATCCGCCCCAGCGCCACTTTGTCCACCACAAATCACACTTGACCAGACACGGGATCGAACCCGGGCCGCCGCGGTGGGAAGCCAGCGACTAACCGCTTGAGCTATGGCGCGGCCCTTGACTTGGTGTAAGGTGACATATGCAGTTTACTTCTGAGTTTAGTGTGCCGCCACGTGGACAGAGCTGTAAAACACCTGTAGAGAATACACACAAACTTCGATATGTATCCTACATTCACTATTGCATTAAAGTGTTATTCAGAAATAAACATGTACAGTAACTGCTTTACGGAAACGTGGAACCAAAAATATGACGATTGCTTGGAGATTGGGAGATTAAGCGTTCAAATCCGACCCTCTGTCCTGACGCTTCGGGATTATGACGGAAGGTGAAAAGGTAGAGGTATCCCTGTAACAAGCCGTGGAGGCCCATACGGTCGTGAGATGTCGAAGCTCCCATAACTTCCTGACAATTGACTCACAGATAGCGGAGAGGTTGTCAGCCTTAAGCGCCGGCCACCCATTACCCCCATGGAAATTCCTGGTCACTCACTCACTCATGGAGCTAAACCCTTCTTGAGAAGCCGCCAACTGTGCAGCTACTCAAGAACTTCCCAGCATTTTATGGAACCCAAAGGTTCATTACCGAGTTCACAAGAGCCCTCCACTGGTCTCTATCATAAGTCAGATCTATCAAACCCATGCCATCCCAACCTATCTCTCTAAGATCCACTTTAATATTGTCCACCCATCTACATCTTGGTCTTCCCAGTGGTCTATTTCCTTCTGGCTTTCCCATCAATATCCTATATGCATTCCTCGTCTCCCTCATTCGTTCTACATGCCCTGCCCACCTCATCCTCCTTGACTTGATCATTCTAATTTTGGAGAAGAGTACAAGTTATGAAGCTCCTCATTATGCAGTTTTCTCCAACCTTCCGTCACTTCATCACTCTTTGGTCCAAATATTCTCCTCAACACCCTGAGTCTGTGTTCCGCCCTTAATGTCTGAGACCAAGTTTCACACCCATACAGAACCACAGGCAAAATTATAGTTCTGTATATTCTAATTTTTATGTTTTTGGACAACAGACGAGAAGACAAAAGGTTCTGTACTGAATGGTAGCAAGCATTACCCGAGTTCAATCTCCTCTTAATTTCCTCCTAAATCAGACTCTGATTTGTTATCGTCGTTCCCAAATATCTGAACTGTGAGACATTTTCAAAACATCGGTTACCTGTCTTTATGTCACGATTTTGCCCTGCATTTTGGTGACGAGATAGCGTCACTTAAAGCCTGTGAGTTTTTCTTTATGGTATCTATGTTATCACCCAGTAGATTCACATCATCGGCATAGGCCAACACCTGATGTGTCCCGTTTAATTTCAGTCCCGCCTGGTTTTCCTGGACCTTCCTCATGGCATATTCTAAAGCAAAGTTGAAAAGGAGTGGCGATAAAGCATCTCCTTGTTTTAGATCATTCTGGATAGGAAAATTATCAAACAAATGTTTATCTATACGGACTTCACTATAAGTTTCGTTTAAACACATTTTAATCAGCCGAACTAGTTTCATGGGTATCACAGACTCTACCAGAATATTGTACAATACTTCCCTCCAAACTGAGCCATAGGCTTTCTTGAAGTCTATGAGTAGCTGATGTACTATCTCATCCTACTCCCACTTTTTCTCCAATATCTGACGAATGCAAAAGATCTGATCTGTAGTTGATCTGTTACGTCGAAACCCACACTGATGTTCCCCAATAACTTCATCCATATATGGACTCAAAAAGAGAAAGATGGTATGAAGGAAGAAAATGGTATGTCCTTAATCAGCATAGCTTATTTGTAAGTCTAGGTAATAAAATGCAGGCTTTAGCTTCCGCCGACTTTCTCAAAAATACCTCCTCTTATGAACCATCCCGCTTCAAATTTCCTTACAGTGAGGTTACCTGTTACATAGGAATGATTTGCTCCCACGATATTTTGACGTAGCCCTATTATTTACTGAGAGACGTCTGTATTTCCACTAGGAAATTTTAAACAAATATTTAAAAATACGCTATTCTTGTACTTCTCCAACAAACCTGGCTTTCATGACAGGTTAAGTTGGTTTAGTTTAATTTACTTAATTTGCTTTATGTTATGTTCGTGTAGACTGGAATAGCTAATCAGTGCCTACAGGATGGGCAACTGGGGTCCGATTCCTGGCGGAAGGAGGAGTGATCCGCCGTCCACTACGGCCTTGGAGTCTACCACTTCCATTATCTAAAACTGCAGAAAGAGGGGGGGGGGTCACCGGAGGCAAAAGCGGCCGGGGCATGAAGCTGTCCACTCGTCCCCATTTCACTGCGCGAGTTTTACCTCCATCTTACCACACACAATTCTCATAAGACGCACAGATGCAGGTAGAGCGCTTAAGATATATGGTGTAAAGGTACTAGTAAACACTAATTCTGCGAGAAGTTTGGAAACTAACTTCGTAACATAGCTTAAGTGTACAGTCACCGTGTCGTGCACTAGTTTCCCGCCATTAATTGCAGCATACACCAATGCAGAAAGAGAACCCGCCAATAGTGTAGACATTTTGCAGCGCGAAGCGAAGCACGTGTAGGGGATATTTGACGAACTACCTGACAACACAAAGACATGCAATACTTCTGCATAAAAATATGTTATGTTGTACTCACACTCTTTCCGCTTCAGTGGGCAGGTTCCGAGGTACTTGTGTCAGGCCTCGGTGGGAGCAATCAACTGCAAGACCGGTGCAAGAACAGGCCCATGGACAACGAGTAAGTTCCCCCATCTGACTGTGCGGAGGGGTCAAGACGCCACCAATGACATGCGTATTACCAATAATCACATCATTACTACAGTAGGCTGCTGTGGCCATGAGAATCACCACAACACAGCACAACGCCATGGTTAAGGATCAATTACGATACACACAAAGTTCACAAGTCACTGGTCCAAACTCTGAGAACCTGGCGCTGATTCGACGCCAACCCTTGGGTAACTAGAGCAAAGCATCGTACGTCTGTTTTTACCGCGCTCTCTGACAAAGTTTATGAGACACGTCCCGAAAGCGTCAGTCACCGATGATCACTTTACCTAATACAAGATCAAGTTTAGCTGGTATTTCCTTACATTCTAAGTGCTACAAATAATCCAGCGCACACTCTGATGAAACCGATTCTAAAATTAGACTGTTCCCCATCAAGTGTGAAGTGTCACATTGTGCTTAAGATCGCTAACATAAACTATGGCAAGAAGCAACAAACTTCCAACTACCTTGAAGGCACTCGCCTGACTGGCTCGCCCGCCCGCCCGTTGCATCCGTCTCTCGGCCAGACCGCGCGGCGCGTGCACATAGTTCGCCACATTCCCACTAGGTACCGACACTTGCAACACTNCCAGCGCCGGCGCCACACAGTGCGCCACATTCCCACAAGGACCCGACACTTGCACCACTACACCCCCCCCCCAAAAAAAAAACAGCAAATAAATTAAATAAATTAACAAATGCGAACAGTTCGAGGCGCTCGCGGACGTCTGTTTAACCCATGTGGTGGAAAGAAAAATATTTTTTTTTTGTATATATTCCTAATAACGTTTGTACATTTCCATTCAGTGGAATTCATCATTTATCTATCTATCTATCTTTATTCCTGTTGCTCCCATTTAGAGTATAGGGCATCCGTGACACGCTTCGTTTCACTTCAGTTTCTCAAGCTTATACACTCAGTAGGCCACCTAAAGGCGCGTCCGCATTACTCGTGCTCGTGCTCGCCAGGCTTGTGCTCGTCGGGAGACTCGTCTGGCTTTTACTTGTGTTCGTAAATCTTCGTCCACACTGCTTCAGTTGCTCGCCAGGCTTCGGCGCGTGAGGACCCGTATATTTACTTGTAGTGTGTATAGGCTGTAGTCGTATTTTAATTTATTGGCTATAGTTTTAAAATTAAATTTTTAAATTTGCTTGTATTGTAACTTGTCATATCGTCCACATTACTCGCGAGCATAGCGAGTCACACGAGCACGACCACGAGCACGAGCACGAGTAATGTGGACGCGCCTTTAGACTGGGGATCAGCCCGTCGCAAGTCCGCTACCTACCCAGAATAACACAAACACAGAATAAACGCATACAAACATCTACACCTCGAGTTGAATTCGAACCCACGATTCCAATGTCTTGGCCACTGTGATCGGCAGAATTCATCATTACACCCCAGTAAGATATTAGGCCAAAACTGAGGGCTATTTTACAGGCCAGAAGTATTTTTCCTGCCTAAGTTCGAATAGTTTATACATTTTCAAAAATATTTCTGTAGTTATTTCATAATTTGTGTAGGCCTGTATGTTACATGAACACCGATTTCATAAGCGAAATTTTTCTCGCTTTGCCTATCTTCTTCTTGTCCCTTATTTAAGCTTGGTGCATAAAATACATACACACATACATAAGGAGAGAGCGTGTTTATCCGTCGGCAAATTCCTATCCCAAACTGTAATGAAATGTAGAAGTCTTACTGCCGGTTATAAACTAAAAGATATCAATGAATTTACTTCTAGTTCCAATTGTCCAAGAGTAACCATATTTAGCGTGAAACTCAGTCCGCGCCATAGCTCAAGCGGTTAGTCGCTAGCTTCTCACCGCGGCGGCCCGGGTTCGATCCCAGGTCTGGTCAAGTGGGATTTGTGGTGGACAAAGTGGCATTGGGGCAGGTTTTCTCAGAGTACTTCGGTTTCCGCTGCCAATCTTCATTCCACCAATTGCTCCACAATCATCCTCACCTATCATCTGGGGCTGGTACAATAGGCCAGAAGTGGCCGCAGTACAAGGGACTTAGTCCCACCCCACTAGCAATAAAAAATAGCTTGAAACTCAAATTTAACTTTATTAATCTTCCCGAAACGGCTCATGATACAAGAACACAACTAAATTTGTAACGTGAAATATATCCCATTAAGATCTCAGACTGTATTTCCGTCACTGTCCAATGTGACAAATCCCTATACTGAATTCAAATCTCTCAAGAGCCAGGTCAGTGCACTCAATTCCTCCCCATCCATTTATTAAAGATCATTTTTAACACCGTCCTTCCATTTACGCATAGATTACCCAAATATTTTTATTTACACATATTGAAACTAAATATTTAAGAATTTCTCATTTTTATGCCTGCCTTAAGTCCTGTCCACCTCCTTATTCTAGATTCTGATCTTCCTAACAATACTAGGCAACGGGAAGCGTACAAGTTAAGAAGAAACGTTATTAGTAAGACAAAAATAATATTAATCCATTGTAAGTTGTCGAATTCTGATATACTGTGTATTTTATTCGCTCGAATTCCTATTCAGAGCAACGCATACTTCCCAATCTCCACTATTCTCCAACTTTCCTAAGGCAGTGAAACGGCGACCCACACACTGTGCTACAGATGTGGAACAGCAGGGACGGGCAAGCCACGAGCAAAACATAAAAGTTTATATTTCTGAGAGAGTTCCACAGGGAAGTATTCTTGGGCCTATGTTATACTCCATATATACGGCTGACTTGCCAGAAACCGGACAAACAATGCTTGCCACCTATGCCGACGACACAACAGTACTAGCGTCTCATGAGAACCCTACTGAAGCATCCCGGATACTGCAAACGCACTTAGACCAATTCGAAGAATGGCTACAGAGGTGGAGAATTAAGGCCAACGAAACTAAATTTGTGCACATCACCTTCGCCTTGAGGCACGGAACCTGTCCTCCGGTACTATTAAACAGAACATGCATACCACAAGAGGAATCCATCAAATACCTAGGCCTTAACCTGGACAGGCGGTTGACCTGGCGCACACATATTATCGCCAAAACAAAACAACTGGACATCAAATTTAGTCAGATGTATTGGCTAATTGGCAGAAAGTCAGAACTGTCTACCGAAAATAAACTCCTAGTATACAAGAAAATACTGAAGCCTACTTGGACTTACGGCGCACCATTATGGGGAACTGCAAGTACATCCAACATAGAAATGTTGCAGATATTCCAAAATAAAGTACTTTGCTACATGCCCAATGTTTGCCGAAACATGTAGTGTGTAGGGGAGAGCAAAACGAAAGACTTATAATATATGGTTTGCACTGAAGACGGAGTTTGTAATCATGTATCCTATGGAGTGCAACAGGATGCTTAAATATAATATTGTAAAGTACTTCGCGCCATAGTAACATACTGTGGTACGTCCCAGACAGATCGCTACTTGCCGATCTAGGCATATCCACAGTAGGGGAAGAAACAACAAAAATCAGCCGTAAATACAAAGACAAGATCACAACACACCCAAATAAACTGGTAACCACATTATTAAACGAGGCAGACGAGCCCAGAAGACTGAAAAGGCATTAGCCAACAGACCTAACGACGCGCCTCACATAAATTCAATACATACAGTAACAAAGTCACACTCGAAATAGATTCCTAGACAGTGATCACTGGAGCATTACTCTCCCCGACATGTTCTTTCTTAGTATTTAAGTCTTAGATTAAGTATATCATAAGATGTACTTATAGTCCTTAATATGGGCTGATTATACAAATAAACGGAGATATACAAAAGAATATATTTCTGAGATATAAAGAGAAGATAAAGGAGAGAGAGAGACTGACGGCGAATCGTGCTTGCAGTGAAATAAATAAAAAGTCCATTTTATTTGAATAAACGTAAGGTCTTGAGAGTACGGAATAAAAAATGCAGTAAAATGTCTGTAGGAAAGGGAAACTGGTTACCTACAGAGGAAGCGGAAGGAGAGAAGAATGATAACTTAAAATAAAATCGTAAGTTATGCTTTAATATTTATCATTCCTTGCTGTTCTACATACCTTGCCGCCATCTATGAACTGATTCTCTAGAAAATATGGGACCCTCAACTTCTCACAACCCTATGGGTCTCCACGGCCTGTTACAGGGATAGCTTTACTTACTTACTTTTCTGCTGTTCTACATAGAATTGCCCATATCAGAATAACATTCCTGTGAGAAGTGTGAAGGTATTACAAAATACGTACAATACATTTTAACAAACTGAGTAGCCGGGATAGCTCAGTCAGTAAAGCGACGGACTACAGGCTGGATAACCGTGGTTCGATTCCCGGCATGGGAAAGTGATTTGTTTCTTCTCCGCAGCTTCCAGACCGGTTCCGGGGCCCACTCGGCTACCTATCCAATGAGTACCTGGGGGCTCTGTCCCAGGGGTGAAGCGGCCGGTGTGTGAAGCTGACAATTCACCTCCATCTATTGCCCAGATCATAATTGGTGGAGCTATACCTCCACTCTCCCATGTGTCTTCGTGGCATGATGTTTAATTAATTAAGCACAGGGATAATTTTACTTTTCTTTGCCTTTAAGAGTATAAGAGAAACAAGACTGGTGTTAGTTGGTCAGTCGTTTAGTGTGTTTACGGTTGACTAGACTGCACTCGGCATTCGCGACCTTCTCGACTGATACCGAACTGGAAGAGTTCAGACACCTCAGGGACACCATGGACAAGGGCCGCCCACAGAACGAGGGTTACAGCTTCCGAGGTCGCAACAAGATGGCCACTCATACCAGTGCATCATACGTCCGACTGTCTACTCAACATCCTGTTGTGTTCTGTCCGGGCCTGGTCGACACGAATCTGTCCTGCATGTCTGCTGAACAGTCCTCAGATGACGTGCGAAACAAGTTAACTTCAACTTTGGTTTTAAACCCTCTGCTCACGGAGCGGGAGCTGTCATGTTGCTTTTAACGCTACGTAGCACCATAACTATAGTCTAGTAAGCTACAGTAACCGTATCCGTCCCAATCCACCACTGCGATCTTGAGTTCGAAGTCGGCCGAGTGTTTTCTGTGTTGCCCTGTCACATTCTGGCCCGCAGCGACATGAATGCAGCAGATCTAGGAAACATCTGCGCAGTACAGAGTGCCAACCTTAGGGTAGGTTAAAGATAGAGTTGTACCTGTGTTCAATGAATTAAGTACCACGCCTTGAAGACATATCGGAAAGTGGAGGTATAGTTCCACTTTTCTTGACTTCGGAATTAGATGCAGGTGAGTGATCAGATTCACGTCCTAGCCGTTTTGCTTTCTTGAAAAGAGCCCCACTGGATAGGAGGACTGGATGTCTGAGTGGGCCCCAGAGTCGTGCTGGACGCTGTGAAGAAGAGAAAATAGTTTTCCCATGCCGGGAATCGAACCCAGGTTATCTAGCCGTAGCCCGTCGCTATATTGAGTGAGCTATCCAGAATAATGGAATAACAGAA